TCTCTAATTATTGAGGAAAAGACAACTTTTCAAATAAATTATTCTGGAATAATTGAATATCCATACAGTAAAAGTAAATTCAGATCCCTGTCTTTCATGGTGTACCAGCAGCTAAGTGGATTAGTAACCTCAATGTGAAAGGTAAAACTTATAAAACTTTTAAAAAGACTTTTGAGAAGATAATAGAGGAGAATATTATTATTAGTTTAGGGTCAATAAAAACTTCTTAAACAGGATACAAAAATAGATACAGGGGCAAGGCACACCTATAATCCCAGAGGCTTGGGAGGCTGAGGCAGGAGGTTTGTGAGTTCAAAGCCAGCCTCAGCAAAAGCGAGGTGCTAAGCCAGCCTCAGCAAAAGCGAGATATTTATTTGTATCTAAATAAAATACAAAAATAGGACTGGGGATGTGGTTCAATGGTCAAGTGCCTCTGATTTCAACCCTGATACACCCTCTCCCCAAATTTGATACAAGAAAAGATAAATTGGACTACATTAAAATTAAGCATTTGGAGTTGTCAAAAAATACCACAAAGAAAAGTTTCTTTGCAGTGTGCAAACATAGTATCAAAAATGCATGAAGAGGGCTGGGAGTATAGCTCAGTTGTTAGAGTGCTTCCCTTGCAAGTACAAGACCATGGGTTCAATCCCCAGCACCACTAAACAAACAAACAAACAAACAAACAAACAAATAAATAAATAAATAGATAAATAAATATTTTTTTTAGTATATAGGTCATTTTAATATTTATGATTTCACTTGATTGTTAGGAAAACTTGGAAAGACTTACTTGGCCGATACCTTTTTTTCCCTAACATTTCTTTCTTTTTTATTTATATGTAACAACAGAATGCATTACAATTCTAATTACATATATAGAGTTCAATTTTTTATATCTCTGGTTGTATATATAGTATACTCACACCAATTTGTGTCCTCATACATGTACTTTGGATAATAATGATCATCACATTCAACCATCATTAATTACCCCATGCCCCCTCCTTCCCCCTCCCACCCCTCTGCCCTATCTTGAGTTCGTCTATTCCTCCCATGCTCACCCTCCCTGTCCCACTATGAATCAGCTTCCTTTATCAAAGAAAACATTCGATATTTGTTTTGAGGGGATTAGCTAACTTCACTTAGCATTATCTTCTCTAACTCTATCCATTTACCTGCAAATGCCATGATTTTATTTATTTTTTATTACTGAGTAATATTCCACTGGGTATATATGCAACATTTTTTTTCCATTCATCTATTGAAGGGCATCTAGGTTGGTTCCACAATTTAGCTATTGTGAGTTGTGCTGCTATGAACATTGATGTGGCTGTGTACCTATATTATGCTGTTTTTAAGTCCTTTGGGTATAGACCGAGGAGAGGGACAGCTGGGTCAAATGGTGGTTCCATTCCCAGTTCTCTAAGAAATCTCCATACTGCTTTCCATGTTGGCTGCACCAGTTTGCAGTCCCACCAGCAGTGTATGTGTGTACCTTTTTCCCCACATCCTGGCCAACACTTATTGTTGTTTGTATGCATAATAGCTGCCATTCTGACTGGAGTGAGATGAAATCTTAGAGTGGTTTTGATTTGCATTTCTCTATTTGCTAGTGATGATGAACATTTTTTCATGTGTTTGTTGATTCTTGTACATCATCTTCTGAGAAGTGTCTCTTCAGGTCCTTGGCCCATTTATTGATTGGGTTATTTGTTTTTTTGGTGTCTAGTTTTTTTGAGTTCTTCATGTATCCTAGTGATTAGCGCTCTATCTGATGTGTGAGGGGTAAAGATTTGCTCCCTAGATGTAGGCTCTCTGTTCACCTCACAGATTGTTTCTTTTGCTGAGAAGAAACTTTTTAGTTTGGGTCCATCTCATTTATTGATTCTTGGTTTTAATTCTTATGCCACAGGAGTCTTATTAAGGAAGTTAGGGCCTAATCCCACACGATGGAGATTAGGGCCTACTTTTTCTTCTATAAATAAATAAATAAGATTTTTTTTTAAAAAATGCTTCTGCATTAAATGAATGAATCAGTATCCTTTACCTTTTGGTAGAGGTAAGAGGAAGATTGTGATGAGAAGAAATGTGCTGGAGGCTATGTGTGGTTTCAGGTATCCTCATTCTTACGAGGATAGTGTGATGGCATGTCTTAACGAAAAATAGGAAGAAATCAAAACAATAAGGGATAGTTACTGATTATATTATTTTGCTAGGGCTACCATAACAAAATACCATAGACTCGATAGTTGAAACAGAAATTTATATTCTTTAAGCTCTGATGGCTGAAAGTCTAAGAATATGGTGTCAGCAGTTTGGGCCTTTCTCTTTGGCTTGCACATGGCCACCTTCTCGCCGTGTTCTTACATGGTCTTTCTTCTATGTGGGAGTGTCCCTAGTGTCTCTTGGTGTGACCAGATTTCTCCTTCTTATAAGAACAGCAGTTGAATTGGTTTAGCGTCTACCCTAAAAGTCTCAGTTTGATTTAGTTACTGCTTTAAAGGCTTATCTTCAAATGTAGTCACATTCTGAGGCACTGGAGTTTAGGACTTATACACATGAGTTTTGGGTGGGTACAGTACAGCCCATTTTGTAAAGATCTTGAATAGTGAATAAGTTTTTGGGATTTTTGATAAAGTTTCTTAAGCCACTGTTTTAGATTCAGAGAGTGCTATATCTAAAAAAATCTAAGATAGAACTAAAGATATACTCAGGAGAACAGTGTTAAATGACTTAAAATATGGATTTAGTGTTGGTGTTAGTTATGCATTTGTGTACTTGGAATACAATTGGTTTTTGAAAGTGTAAAGGTAATAAACAGTAATTTCTAGTTCAAAACATTTTCCTGTTTTATATAAATACTGTAAATGTTTAGTCAAATGAATAAATCTAATATTATGACTAGATCTTTTAGTCTTATCACCATCTTTGGCATTTATAAATTGTACTTGGCAAAAATTTTTTAAAAAGTCTTTTTATTGGGAAAAGAGAGTATGGATTTTATTTGTATATTATTATATTATATTACCCAAAATGGTAATTTTAGTACAGTAAACTCTACTATAATGCAGTATATATATTTTTAAAAATTACTATACTATGTAAACCCATGCAGCAAGACCACAAAGCTAAGAGAAAATGGAGGCACAATACTCAAAAACTTCATCAGTGATACAAGGATAAGAACCTTGTAGATCAAAACATTTTCCTGTTTTATATAAATACTGTAAAAATATCCCAGTGGCTTGGGAGACTGAAACAGGAGGATTGCGAGTTCAAAACTAGCCTCAGCAATTTAGCAAGGCACTTAGAAACTCAATGAGACCCTGTCTCTAAATAAAATACAAAATAGGGCTGTGCCTGGGGCTCAGTGGTTGAGTGCCCCTGAGTTCAATCCCTAGTACCAAAAAAAAAAAAAAAAAAAAAAAAAAAGAATCTAGTAAAAATAGCAGTACAATTTTATTCATATTAAATGGTTAAGAAATACATAGACACTACAATAAGCATGGTACCAGATTTTTACTTGAGTCTAGTGGTTTATTGATGTGATACACAGAGAAGTATCACTTCTTCGTCTTAAGCATTGTTTTCAGTGGCCTCCCTACTTTTGGTATTGCTTCCAGAATACCTTTACTTAGTAACCATGATCAGTATAAAAGAAAGCATGTGGGTGCTTGTGGGGTTTTTTGGCCAGGGGTAGAGGGGTAGTTTTTCTAGTCTACTTGTTGCTTTTATTCACTGTGGCTTTGTTACTCCAAAGCTTAGCAACAACTGGTTTCCTGAAGAAATCTGAATTCTTTGATTCCCTCCTGTGGTATATTTGGTTGGTAGGAGTGATGGTGAATGAAATATTTTTTGTTGTCGTGTCGTGTACCTGCCTCACTTTCAGGATCTTCACCTTGAGCCAGAAAAATTAGTTTTCCCTTGCAGCATATCCAGCTGTCCCTACTAGACATTGCTTTTAATTTCTACAGTACTTTCTGCACACATCCCTGTTATAGCATTTGGAGTTCTGAAATGTTGAGTTTTCTCTCTAAATAAACTGTACTTGTTGAGGGCATGGAGAACTATCTATCATTTTTACATTTCTTCTACATATCCCAGAGCATGACGGTGGTAATTGGGTAATGGGATAGAAAAAATGAATGAAGCAGGCTTGAATTAGGATCCTTGTGATTCTATTACACATGTTCTCCCCTTATTTTGACAAAGTTAGATAATTTATAGGTATTTTGGTTACTTGAACTTTAATAATGTGCTAATATATTTAATAACATGCTAATATGCATATTTAATAATATGCTAATAATAATGTGCACCCAAATCACTTATTCATTAGCCTGAAAAAACTTAAAATTCACCAAGACACTTAAAGTGTTATATAGCCGTCAAATATTAAGACAGTCGTTTCAAAAACTTTGACTTAAAAAAAAAAAACCTAATTCAGAATCCTTATTAAGCATATAAAAATGAAAAGATGGGACTCCTAAATACAGAAAGTTCTGCTATAATTCTATTTAAAAATACAAATTTATTCCAACATGATTGCTTCATTAAGCAAAAACTTGAGCATTACAAGAATTTTGTTCTTATGCATTATTTTATCTACATGCTTTTCATTCAACATTTTTAGCAGTGAAATAAAATTTTCTTTGTAGACCAAAATTGTGTATCATCTGGGATTCATTTGTGTTTTTCCTACAAATAGATTAAAAAACAAATAGAGTAACTTGCAGCCCTGGGATCAAAGGGTTTTTGACATAATAGAGTAATGAAATATTTTGTTTTTCAGCTTACTATTGTAAATTGAAATTTTTTAAAAAATTTTCAAATATTGATATATTGATTAAGGGGCACAAACTCAAGAGTGTTCGGGAAGGTAGTTCTTTTAAGATAATAATGGGGCCGTGTATTAAGGCTCAAATCTGGATTTTTATTGCAATAACAATCAACTCTTCAAATTGTTTTTGAGACTTTCTTTTCTTTTTTCTTTATAGGACCTCTTTGTTGTTAGACATGAATTGGCCATAATGAGACTAGCTGCCTTTATGGGTATTCCTATGTTCGTTGGAATAACTGGACTTTTTTATACACAACTAATTGGTATTATCACAGTAAGTATATTTTTAATGTGAAGTGACATTGTATGAACATATTACCTAATTATGAACTTAATTCTAAAGTTATAAAAAATTTAGAAATCAAAGGAGGAATCACCTATAATCTTTAATATATTTCCTTCATATGCTTATATATAATTTTAAGAAAGTTATAATGAGGTTCAGGAGAGTGTATATAAGATTTTGTATCCTGTTTTTGAAGATTAACAGTATTTTTGCATGACTACATACTTTGTGTTTACAGCTCTTTAAAATAGTTATATATTCTCTGTTTAATGAATATACTATATTTTAATTAACTATTTTATTGTTGATTGGCATCTAACATGCAGTCACTTTTTCTATATTCAAGATAGCACTGTTTTCATCATCTCTTTTTTTTCTCTTTTTTTTTTTTTTAAAGAGAGAGAGAGTAAGAGAGAATATTTTTACTATTTATTTTTTAGTTTTTTGGCGGACACAACATCTTTGTTTGTATGTGGTGCTGAGGATCAAACCTGGGCCGCACACATGCCAGGCGAGCTTGCTACCGCTTGAGCCACATCCCCAGTCCTCTTTTTTTTTCTCTTTAAACTATTTAGACTAAATTCTCAAAAATTGAGTTGCTAGTACACTTCATTAGTAATGTTTTTATTTTTGCATATATTTTTAGTTTGATATACAAACTAACAATAAGTGATTGTCATTGCTTATCTAGGATGTCTAAAAGGCTGATTGACATCATCTCATTTTATGTTTGGTACAGAAAAATCTTGAAATAGTGTCATCTATTTTTATATGAACTTAAAAACTATTTACTTGTTTATTTGCCTTTTCATTTTTTTTCACACTGCCTAACTGAAACAATTGTATTGAACACAAGAAGTATTATATTAGGTACTAGTTCCCTCAGGGGTGCACTTATTTTTATGTTTCATAGGTCAATTTGAGATTATAGGCACGTAAGCCATGAAAGAGTAAGATTGAAATATACATTATAGTACCATACTTTCTTCATGCAGAGATGATCCCTTTACCATAGCAGAAAAGATTTTTTAAAAATGAGAAAAATCCTATTAAGAATTTAAAAGATAATATACTATATTATACAAAATATAGAGCACATAAATTTTCTTGTACATTATTGATGGGAGAATAAATTGGCTTAACCTCATTGAGCAAATTGTCAATATCTTTCAAAATTTAAAATACACAGCCTTTTTGACTGTCCCACAAAGTTGTTTTTTATAAGCTATTTATTTGTGTGTAACCAGGTAGCTAAAGGTCTCCAGCATTATACATAACATATATGTATATATTATGTATAAAAATTGTTGTTACCAAAATATATAATATACAGTGAAAAAAATATAGTAAGAAAAATGTATCAACACTATCATAAATCAACAAGAAAAATGTGGTATTGGCATAAGGATAGACATAGATAAATAGAATTGAGAGTCCAAAAATACAGTTGTCCCTTGCTATCTAGAGGGGATTGGTTCCAGAATACCCTGTGGATACTGAAATTTGTGGTGAGTGCTCATCTCCCTTATATGAATTGGCATTAATATTTGCATACACATCCCACTGTATACTTTAAATTATCTCTAGATTACTTATAATACCTAATATAACAGAAATGCTGTGTAGATAGTTGCTATACTATATTGTTTAGGGAATGGTGACCAAAAAGAAAAATCTGTGCATATTCATTAGAGACACAGTTTTTTTTCCCCCAAATATTTTCAATCAATGGTTGTTTAATTAAATCTATGGGTGTGGAACCCACAGATATGGAGGGCCAACTATACAAGTACTGTCGTTATATGAATAGTGAGTTGATATTCAGCAAAGGTGCCAAGACAATTCAGTGGAGAAAGAAGTCTTTTCAATAAATGATACTATTTTCTCATTCTCTAAGCTGTCTTTTCACTTTCTTGTGTCCTTTGAAACACAAAAGTTTTTTAAAATTTTATTAAGTTCAATTTATTTATTTTTTTTTTACTATTTATATTCTGGTAAACAATTTTTCATGCATGACATGTATGTTATGTAATTCTGGAGACCTTTTTAGAATACATGATTACACATGTTCAAATAGGTAGCCACTCCAAAGGCTGTTGCACTGAACAGGTTGGTCAGAAGGGCTATGCATTTTATATATCCATAAGCAGAAGAATGAATAGACCTCTTCTTCACAGAATAAACAATAAATTAATTAAAAATGGATCATAGTCTCAAATGATTGAAAATAACTCTTAGAAGAAAACACAGGAGTAAACTTTGGTGGCCTTGGACTAAGCAATGGTAGTATCTTAAATATATCATAAACTACCGAAGAAAAAAATATCATATAAGTTGGACTTAATCAAATTTATAAATTTTTGTACTTCGAAGGACACTTATCAAGAAGTTCAAAGACAGTTCAGAAAATGATAGAAAATATTTGCAAATCATATATCTGACCAGGAACTTGTGTTTGGAATATATAAAGAACTTTTATAATATAATAATAAAAAGGCAACTCAACTAAAATATGGCCAGAGGATTTATCCAAAGAAAATATGCAGATGGACAGTAAGCACATGAACAGATACTCAACCTCATTAGTCATCAGGGAAATGCAAATCAAAACCGTGATGATATACTACTCCAAAACTACTAGAGTGGCTAAAGGCTGATAATAAGAATTGTTGGTAAGGATATGGAGTAATCAGAACTCTCATACGCTGGTAATGGTGATGTAAAAGGGTGCAGCCACTTTAAAAAATAGTCTGGCAGTTCTTTGAAAGTTAAACGTAGAATTACCATTAGACTCAGCAGTTCTATATGCCTGTATCCACACAAAAACTTGCAGATTTATGGCAGCATTTTTCATAATAACCTAAACTGAAAATAATCTAAATGTACATCATTTGATAATGAATACACAAAATGTGATGTATCCATCTAATAGAATATTATTTGTCCATGAAAATATGGAAGAAACGAAGTACTGATACATGCTACAACATGGGTGAACCTTGAAAATATTATGCTAACTGAAAGAAGATCCCATCTTTATGATTCCATTTATACAAAATATACAGAATAGGAAAATTTATATAGACAGAAAATAGATTAGTGTTTGACTAGGGCTGGTGGACAGAGGATGATAGCTATGGGGTACATGGATTATTTTATGGGATGATGAACATATTCTAGAGCTGAAATTACTAGGTCACATAAGATTGATTCATCTTATAAGAAACTATCAGACCTTGTACCCAAATGGTTCTGCCATCTTTCATTACTACCAATAATATATGAGAATTCTGGTTGTTTCATATCTTCCTTATCATTTGCTGTTGCCAGTCTTTTTAATTGTAGTTATTCTGGTAGTTTTAAATACTATCTTGTTTTAATTTGAATTTCCCTGATGATTAATGGTGTCAAACACTTCTTTGTGTGCTTTTTAGCATTTCATAGATCTTTAAGAAATGTCTGAATATTTCATTATTGAGTTTGAAATACTTTTTAGTATCTCTTGTGATTTCTCTAATAATGATGATGATAAATAACATTGTATTAGTGACATTGCCAAAGATGAGAGGAAGTTATTCCCTAAAATATGTTTTCTGCTTTTATACTTGTTCATAATTTAGAATAATGAACTCCTAGTTCATAAGTCTTGTCAAAATTGACAGGTTATGCTTGCATCTTTGGAATCTGTTTTTTTGAATTTACCCAAATCATTGATATATACTTGTATTCCTGTAACAGGATTTTTCCAGTGCTTAACCATTAATGAGTGGGAAATGGACCTTGGGAATATAACAACAAAGAGTACATGTACCTAGTGAGGACTGTAAACTAGGAATTAATAGCAGAGGATAACAATTTCCTTCCCACCTCCTAGCTTCATAGCTTCAGATAGTTAAGGTTTTAAGATTTTTTGAAGACCTTTACTCTAAAATTTTAATATTCTTTTCTGAGTTGGACATAGTAAGTTGTTTGTTATTTTTGTTCATTTTTAAAAATTGTATATATCAAGTACTATTCTAACTATTCCATTCTGCAAACAGAATTTAATGAATAATATTCATTCTCAAGTTGCACAGTTTTATTTTGTTGTTGTTGTAATATTGAACATTTCATTGTATAAAGGAGGGATGTTGAGTTCTGATGTGATATTTCTAAAACAGTGTAGAAACCACATTTGTTAAATAATGATCTATCCAAACGCTTTATCTCTTTTGCATGCATGAAATACCTCTCGGAACATTCTGTACCAGGCAGAGCTCTTTCTAAGGAAATTGCATATCTGTGAAACATTCATAGAAAAATAAGTATTGAAAGAGATTATATTCTATTTGTTAGTCTGATCTTGAGTCACTTTAGTTACTCTTGAATGCAAATACAATATAAATTATTGTCAATTTTAATTGCATTTACTTGTACCTTTATAGTGCATCTCAACCACTACTTTTTTTGAATTAGAAAAACAGTATTCATGAGTTCCAAGAATGTCCTCCTCCCACATTGATGCAAATTCTTTAAGGCTTAGTTATTTAAAGTTGTTAGTATTCAGTGTTTAATTTTTAATCTAATGAATTATTAGCATCTTACTAAAATAGTATTTAATATTTTAATTAAGATTACAATATAGATTATACTTTCTTTGTAAAGTGCTTTTTTTCTGTTTTGTTTAATGGTAAAATTAAGATTCCCTACAGGAAATTTCACATCTGGATATGTTTTTTGGTCATGATATGAATCCAAGGATCTCATTAAATTGTGAGAAGTGATGAATTTGTCAGGTAGCATAAGAAAGAAAAGAAATATTTAATAATTTCACTGAAGTTTTCCTCCATCCCCTATCCCTGTACCTCAAAGATATAAGAGGCATTTTGGGATAACACTGGTGGGGATGTCAGTTCATTATATGAAATTGCATAGCTTGATTACAAGCCTGTTAGATAAACAGCCAAAACAAATGCTCTCTCTTTAGGTTTAGCTTGAGATTTCAGGGA